GTTGAGGGTTTTGGGCTTAGGGTTTAGGGTGTAGGGTTTAGGGTTTAGGGCTGGTGTGGGATTCAGGGTTGTAGGGCTGAAGGTCGGTTCAGGGTGCCGGGGTCCCAGAGAGCCCAATACCCCCTTAATTCAGGAAGTATGCTAAGCAGATCCTTTTGCGACTGGTTTAGCATAGGGTTTAGGGTGTTAGGGCTTAGGGGTTTAGGGTTTAGGGTATTTAAAAAGCTCCTCATATCGGGGGGGGGGGGGCTTCAGAGGCGGCCTGTATCTGGCCTGTGAGATTTTTTTTCTCGCAGCTATGTTCAGGAAAGGGCACAGGATTCGAGAAGGTAAGCCTTGCCGACACAGAACCTCTACAGCGGGAGCCGCAAGCGAAGCCGCCCATGGATATGGGGGTTTCCGAAAATAGGGGACCCTAATATAGTACCCAAAATAGTAGGATCCTTATTATAAGGACCCCCAAATAAGGTACCCTAATTTTCGGAAACTCCGATATCAGCACCACTGTGCAAGCATCGCTTTGGGGCAGCTTGTAGGTTGGGGCTTTCGGGTCTTTATCGTAGGGGTCCAACTAACTTCTGCAGACTAGCCTACCTTGTTGCTATCTGCCACGGTTTAGGGTTTAGGGCTTAGGGTTTCCTAAACTCCAGTGCCTTTTCTTGTGGGATCCTTTGAGCCATTGGGTTTCGACCCTTGTGGGGGATTTGGCGTTTAGGCCTCAGGGTCCCGCCTGAGACATCCGACTCGACAGCCGCAGGAGAGCAACGGCGTCCTGAAGATGATCGACACCCTGTCCAGCGACATTGAGAAGGAGAGTCCAAAATGGGTAGTTCTCGAAAAGAGGGTCCCTTAGGGTCCTTCTTATAAGGCTGCCGTACTATATTGGGGACCCAAAAAGGGAACCCAATTCAGAGAAGTATCCAATTGTAATAGCCTCAAGCATTTCTTGCCTTTAAACCATAAACCTTGGAAAGTTAGGCTGGCTGAAGTTATGTAGGAATTCGTTCTCAGAGCCTTTCAGGAGATGGCGGTGGCCAAGACCGAGGAGGAGAATGCGCAGGCTGCGCAGAAGTTCCATTCGAGATCTGGGTTTCAAGTTTACCATGTTGGTGTTTTGAGTGTCGGGCTATGCCATGGGTGTGGCACTATGGATTTTCAAGAGGAAGCCCACTGACCTATATGCGGGCCTTCTATCGGGACCTGGGCCTACGCCGTCTCGTTATCTTCGGCCGTGTTCTGAAGTATATTCGGAGTGCTTGCCTTGATAGATGCAGTCGTCAGGTGCGAAGACGTCCCGAACAAATCCCTTAAACTACATTGTAAAGGCTTCTTCAACCTCTTGTACAAGCTGCAAGCCCTGAACCATAAAGGCCTGTGAACGACCGTCCCTCCAGAATTGTTATACAACCCTAAAGCCAAATCCTTGTCTAATTGTTTTAGTATTTAGGTCTTTTGCTGACGTGAGCGCCTCGAAATCGGTCAGAGCTCTGGTCTCTGCCGGCCATCCTCGTGCAAATCCGGTCGTTGACATGTTAGGACCGCAACGAGCCCCACCCGAACCTGAACCCCCCCCCCAACAAAAAACTAAGACCGACTTACTGTTTAGGACTTCAAGTTTGCATTGAGGGTTTAGCCTGAGATCCATGTGAGAACTTGCATGCTAACAAGGGCCCCCCCAGCCCCAAACACCCAGAGCCCTCCAGCAACCCTAACTCCCGCCCATAAATCCTAAACCTTCAACCCTACACCCTAAACCGCTAAACCCTAAACCGCTAAATCTAACCCTTAACCCCTAAACCCGAAGCCCTATCCAAGTCGGAGCCCTACTCGTCCGAGAAGGCACCGGGGATCGCCCCGCGTCCTTCCTTAAGCACGAAATGACCCTTAAAAGTAGGGGCCCCGTACCTTTATACTATGAATCCCTATATGGTATAGGAACCTTAAACCCTTTTAGGGTTCATTTCGTCCTCAAAATGTCCACTAAACCCTAAACCCCTCAACTCTGAACCCTAACTCCTAAACCCATTAGTCTAGGCTATTCTGCCTGACATGCTCTATGTCACCCTCCTTCCGAACAAAACTCTGAACCGTAAACTCTAAACCCTAAACCCCTAAACCCTACACCCTAAACCCTAAACCCCTAAACCCCTTAACCCTAAACTAAATCCTAAACCCTAAACTCTGAACCTAAAGCCTGCCCCTGCTAGGCAGACTACCAGGAGACCGTCGCCGACGCAGCCAAGAAGAGGGAGGCTCCCGTCGGGGCTTAGTGTTTAGGGGGTTAGGGTTTTAGGGTTTAGGGTTTAGGGGTTTAGGGTTTAGGGTTTAGGGGTTTAGGGTTTAGGGTTTTAGGGTTTAGGGTTTAGGGTTTAGGGGGTTTGGGTTTAGGGGGTTTAGGGGGTTTGGGGGGTTTAGGGTTTAGGGGGTTTAGGGTTTAGGGTTTAGGGTTTAGGGCTGGCAGTGACTTATCAGGTTGAGCCTTACCCTACGCCAAGCCCTG